TCCAAAATTGTACGAGCTCCACACGATCGACCTGTCCCACAACAACCTGTCCGAGATCCACAACGCCGTCTTTCAAACTCTGTTCAGCCTTCGTTTCTTGAATCTGTCTCACAATTCTCTGGAGAGAATTAAACCGTCCACGTTCGGCCCGTTGGCAACGTTGTTAGAATTGGACATGAGTTACAATCGATTGAGCGACGTCGCTCGCAGCAGTTTGACCAGATTGCCGAGTTGCAGGTAACGGATATCGTAACGAATCCGGGATGATTCTTTTTATATATATAATTAAATAAAAGTGACGATGATCGATAGGAGCTTAACGGTGAGAAACAATCGATTAACGAAGATCTTCCAGTTACCGATTTCCCTGGCCAGTCTAGACTTTTCCGAAAATTGGTTGGAGGAAATTCCAACCGTGGACGTGTGGCCCACGATGAACGCTCTCCTCTCGTTGGACCTTACGGGAAATCGGTTGGGTGACAATCTCAAGCATGGAAGTTTCGAAAACTTGCTCACCTTGAGGACCTTGAACCTGCGCTCCAACAACATAACGAAGCCACCTTGGGAGGCGTTAAGCACGCTAACCAGCTTGCAGTATCTTTACATGCAGGTTCGACGAATTATTATCGATCGTTTTATTTGATTCCAGACACGATATATACATTATACATAATTTCAGGACAACGAATTGACCGAGTTGAGGAAGGCGGCGTTCGGGCGTCTTCCTATAGTGTTCGAGTTGAATCTGGCTGATAATAGAATAGAGAGGGTGAGCGTGCGCGCCTTCGAAGGGTTGCTGCAATTGTTGACGTTGAATCTGACCAACAATAAGATTACCCACATCCCGAACGGGGCGTTCCAAGGCCTCGTCTCTTTGAGAACGCTGGATCTTTCTCACAACGAGTTGGAAAAATTGGACAACAAGACCCACGGCCTCCTCGATGATTGCCTTTCCCTGGAGAGGGTCAATCTGAGCCACAACAAGATCTCATTCGTGACCAAGAGAACGTTCCCCAACGATCCTTGGATACCTTATCGGTTGAAGGAGATCGATCTCTCTTATAACGTTATGCCTGTATTGACTCACGAGCTCACCACGGGGATGAAGAAGATTCTACGTTTGAACATAAGTCATAACAACGTTAACGAGATTCATAGATGTGAGTGTGTTTTACAGTTATTGCCTAGCTAGGGGGATAATGCGGGGAGATTGTAATTCGATATTTCCATTTTTTTTTTTCTTTCTTTCTTTCTTTCTTTCTTTCTTTCTTTCTTTCTTTCTTTCTTTCTTTCTTTCTTTCTTTCTTTCTTTCTCCCCGACAGATGTGATTGGAAACTTGACGGCGATACAAACGCTGGATCTTTCTTACAACGAGATCAACGACCTCTCGGAACCGGATATCTTCGAACCTCCGACCAACCTGACTAATCTGTACCTGAGTCACAACCGGCTGACTCACCTACGGTTGAACAAAATTCTACCGCTGCCAAATTTGAAGATTCTCGACCTGGAATCCAACTCCATCGGCGTATTCGACGAAACGTTCATGAAAATCATAAACAACGGGACGAAAGTACGGTATCACGGTAAGACATCTTTATATATTTTTTTAAAAAAGAAAAAAATATTTTTCCAAAAAAAAAAAAAAACGAATCATAACCGTGCGAATATCGTTCAGGAAATTCATTGCACTGCGATTGCCACGTGAGGCCTTTGAAGAGGTGGCTGGCCACCCAAACGGAAATACCGGAGGAATGGTCGAACGTTAGCTGCGAGAGCCCGCATTTTCTCGCGAATAAACCGTTGTCTGGAGTCACGGAGGACTTGATGGGGTGCGGCGAGAGAGACGTGAAGGAGTATCCCGAGTTCGACATCACCCCAGACGTGAAATATCGAAACATCGAGTAGTAAGTGTACACTTTAGAGGAGATTATATATACACATAATTTGGGATCTTGGACTGAATATTTTTTTTTCTAGCGACGAGGAGGACAAGAGTTGGAAGGCGACCTGGTACGTGACATCGCGTGAGGACATCGGTGACTTTTACGTGGTGGTGAGAGAGTCTGGGAGCGGCAAGTCCGCCATCGAGAAGGATCTCGTGTACAGCGAGAGATCGTTCAAAATTCAGGATCTTCGGGACACCGGGTCGAAGTACGAGCTGTGCGTGCTGGCAAGGGACTCGGAGGGGAATGTGAAACATTTTCGAAGCTCCCAGTGTAGAACGTTGGCCCAGCACGCCCTGCTCGACTCCTCCTCGCCGAGGCTCGCCGTGAACGCGAGCCTCCTCATCCTGATCGCCGTGTCCATTCGCATTCTGGCGTGACGATCCTTTCCATCCAATTATAACGCGTGTAAATAACGATTAGACGATTATTAAAGAGTATTAAAGTCGCTTGTGTACATAGTGTACATGTACGTGTATCGCGGTAACGAGGACGTTGAACGTCGTATGTATTATATTTTTGTAAAATATATACGTTTTCTACATCGAATTTTTCTCTTTCTTCTGGAAGATTCTCCAAAGATTCGAAAGACGAAAGGAGATAGACGGTGGTGTTGGGAGGTATGGTGTGTCGATTAGCGGGCAATTTGTCTTAATAACTCCGAGTCGCTTTATCCCACGAGCCTAATTTCTCCCGTAGAGCGTTGTCCCGTCCGCTAATAAAGGCGTTTCTCTCGCGGGCCCGGTTGAAAAAGTTTCTCAAGGAAGTGAGCGGGCTCGCGAGCCGCGCTTAGCAAGATGATTTCATTATTCGCGCGTTTTATAATTAGCATCCACGCGGTTATCCGCACGGAGGATAAGATAAGGGGGAGGGAGGGTGGGATGGCTCGAGGGGGCACCTTTCCTTCTAATGAGGCCAAAGTCCCGTGGAAGTTGTCGCTTCCGCAAAACGATCCGGTAGCGAGATTAACTACGCGAGAGCCGATCACGATCATCCACGCGACACGTTTCGTATAATATACGTTAACCGTTGTTTAAGCCTTATTCGATTATACAAGGATTATTGTAACTGGACGGACGTTTAACGTTCTATCTCTTTCGATTGCGGAATATTTGCGAGATATACGTAACGAGAAGGGACGTAACCATTCCGTTGACGATTAACGGGACTTTGGATCGGTAAACTACTCGCGACGCGCGCGCTCTCATCGCCTTCGTCCCTGCGCGATAAAACAAAAAAAAAGATAATTTACTTTTTTACATTTACTGTAGCGAGTCGAAGAAAAAAAGATCGATCGTCGATCTGTTCAAATATTTGTGTTACAAAGGAGACGTGTTACATGGTCGAAATCGACACAAATGGCGAAAAGGTGAAAACAGAATTTTCGAGGGAAGAGAGAAACGCTTCTCTCTCTTCCCTTTAAATCGTGTTATTATTTGGGAGTCCTTTAAGAGATTAGCACGAATCGGCGGAAAGTTGAAAATAACTAGTTTCGCTACCGAGAGATCGCGTTGATTGTCAAATTTTTTGGGAATAAGAAGAGAAAGAGGAGGAGGAGGAGGAGGAGGAGGAAGAAGTAGTTTCAATTAGGTATGGAATTTAGTGGCATTCGTTACGGAGGCAAACGATTTCTCGTGGCGAGCGTAATCGCAATCGGTCGCTCGTTACGAAATCTTTGGACACTTTCACCTCGAGGGCCGGCGTGGAATGGCGTGGCTCGTCCAAGTACCGTACACGAGCGTGCACGATCGTGCACGAGCAGCCACGAACGGCAGTGTCTATCAAAGACAGCAGACATCCGTTTTTGTCCGGCTTCGACCATAAGTGCCCCAAGGCTGTTGTTTCGCCTGAATAAACGTGCACGTCCTTTCATCCTTTCTCCTCGATCGATACAGGCCTCCCCCTCTTCTCTTAACTCTCGCGGTTAATGCGATAATTAATTATCGATCGACCCGACTATGCCTAGTGTATATATAAATCATGGGGACCAACGTTCGCCCCACGATCTATCGATGTATTCCAATTATTTATTCCCGTTCGGTATCGACCAACGAGACCCGAGAGCTAGTTATATACATACATATATATATATATATATAGTATAGTATAAATAGAAGTCGAAAAAGAGCGAAGCTCGTGGAAGATTCATTCGTGATAAACGATCGACCAGTTTCTTCGAGCCAAACACATTTACATAGTCCACTTTGGGCAGTGACTCACACCAGATCCATGTAAGGCCCAGCGCCCTTCCCTCTCCTCTCCGAGTTGCACGCCTACGGCCAAACCACCTTCCCTTCCTCCTCTCTTCCCTATACAAGATAATAAAAAGGTTGCAATCCAAGGAGGAGGAGGAGGAGGAGGAACCTCTCGAAAAGGCGTACAGTTTCGTAGCCAGCCATTTCGTAAATAGCCTCGTTAACGAGGTGCTCGTGGGAGGAAGGAACGATAAACTCTGCCTCTCTGATGAGCGCTCGTTTTTTTCTATATTATCTCTTTTCATCAATTTTCGTTTCGAGAATCGGGATCGATGACGAGAGAACGAATTGGAATCTCGTGGATAAGGTGGACAAGGATAGGGAGCGGAGCGGTTGGGAAAAATGGTGGCGCACGAGGTAGCGCGCCACGGCTACGGACTATGGATCTCACGTGCGCGCCGTTAAAAAGATGTTGCCCCGTTCCGCGTCCACGTCTCTGGGTCCTGTGTGCGTCGGTGTGCGCGGTTCGAACTCTCCCGCCAGTCGCCGGGCCCGTCAGTGCCTCTCGCGTTCTTGGCCGGGGAACACCTCTCCGACTGGAGATCGT